AAAGTCAGAGCTATCTAGCTACAGGACACAGGGGAAAGGGGGGGGGGGGGGACCACATCACTGTGTGTCCTCTGGGTTTGCCCCTGGATAGACCCCTTGTGTGTACCCACAGACACATCCCCCTAGATTACACTCATACATTTTCACTTGGATGCCAAGGAACCATCTCAAAGCCACTCTCTCCAAAGTTTAGTTTTCCCTTTTTCTCTTCTTAACCTACCTTCCTATTTTCATTGACAACTGAAATCTTTCATGTTTTATACCATGAAATCCAGTTGTTCTCTGGACTAAGTTCAATGTCCATATAGTTTTAGCTTACATTATAGCAATGCTGAATTGGACACTGGTACTAAGCTCTGCTGAACACCAAAGCCTTGAGACTGCAATCCCCTTCAGTTATAAGGCTTCCAGTTAAGTCACAGACTTCAAGGGGAGTTTTGCAGGGCGGTTGAGGGGTGGGAAGGGCATACAAGGCAGAGGGGTTTGAAGAATTGGGACCTATGTCTGGAAACTGTGTGGAAGCCTTATTAACACCTGAAATAGTCACTTCCTTCATGCCTTTATTAGAAAATACGTTGTGTTTGGTATTAGAATTCACAGACTCAGTTTGTGTTTATTGGTGACTATGATTTGACTAAGAAAGTCAGGGGTAAATCATAACAGTTGCTTGCTCAGCACCACATTCTGTTTTGAGAACTGTTATCACCTTTTTGTTTTTAGGAAAGAGAGAAACATCCGTTTCAAAAGAACTGTGAATGGAGTCATAATAAGCAGAAGAGTTTTTCTTAAAACATTTTAAAATACAAAGCAAGACCATTTTTTTTTCTTCACTCCTTTTTTTTTTTTAGGAAAGTTAGAGGCCTGGATTAATCTACTTCAACAACTCCAACCCCCTGCTCAAAGCGAGACCAGCCCCAACTATATCATCCCAGCCAAGGCTTTGTCTAGCCGGGTCTTGAAAACCTCGAAGGATGGAGGGTCCACAGGCTCTCTGGGTAACCTGTTTCAGTGTTTTCTACCCTCTTAGTGAAAAAAATCTTCCTAATATCAACCTAAGCTTCCCTTGCTGCAGCTTGAGACCCTTGCTCCTTGTTCTGTCATCTGCCACCACTGAGAATAGTCTGGCTCCATCCTCTTTCAAACCCTGCTTCAGGTAGTTGAAGGCTGCTATTAAATCCCCTCCCAGTCTTCTCTTCTATAGACTAAATAAGCCCAGTTTCTGGGCTCTCCTCATAAGTCATCTGCCCATACCTCCTCACCATTTTTGTTGCCCTCCACTGGACCCTCTCCAATTTGTCCACATCCTTTCTGTTGTGGGGGGCCCAAAACAGTACTCCAGCTGTGGCCTCACCAGTGCTGAATACAGGGGAATAATTATGTCCTTTGACCTGCTGGCAACACTCCTACCAATACAGCCCAGTATGCCATTACCCTTTGTGGCAACAAGGGCACACTGCCAGTTCATATTCAGCTTATTGTCCACTGTAACCCCCAGGTCCTTTTCTGCCCATCCAGACAGCCCCCAGGCTGTACTGGTGCATGGGATTGTTCTGCCCCAAGTGCAGGACTTTGCACTTGTCCTTGTTGATCCTCATAAGATCTCTTTTGGGCCAATCCTCCCATTTGTCTCGGTCACATCTTCCATTTTAATCCACTTTATCCTTGTCAAAATGATTTCAATCTTTACTACCACTATTAGCTGAATTATTGCCTGAACTGGTGAGATCTGATTTGCAGATGACAGAGAGACCCAATTAATCCAGGCGCGGTTTATCTACAACTGGGAAATGTAATTCAGCTTTGAACATTACATAAAAAACCCACTTGTCATAAGAAAAGGTTGGTCTAAGGAAAATTAAAGTCAAATAAAGCTTCCTATGAGCGGAGTTCTGGTTTAAAAAACAAAAAACAAAACAAAAAAACCCCACAAAAACCAAAAAAACAAAACAAAAACAAGAAAAAAATTAAAGTACCAGAATAATGAATTACATCATCTCAAAAAGGTAGAAAGAGGCAAAAAATGCACCTGGAATACACTGGAAAGATGTGCAAAAATAAAATGCAACCTATGCATAAATGCATCTTAGGGAAATTAAAATGCCACTGAATTCTTGGTTGATTGGTTGTAGTTAAGCGTCATATGCTGAAGATTGGGAGCATAGGGTGGGTGCATCTTAGAGTAACACATTTGTAGCATCTCATGATGTAAGCTGTCACGTACAAAAGCTTACATCTTTCTGAATGAGTTAGCCTCTAAGGTGCCACCCTACCCTGCCTTCTGCTCGACTTCAGATGAACACTGCTAGCTACCTTGGGAGGAAAAACCTGCAGCATGCTTATAGGCTTGCTAGTGCTATGCTGGTTGGCACTACAGATGAAATGGACTTGGGGGTCATGATTGACCACAAGATGAACATGAGCCTTCAATGTGATGCTGCGGCTAGTAAAGTGAGCAAAACGCTGGCTTGCATCCATAGATACTTCTCAAGCAAATCCCAGGACGTCATTCTCCTGTTGTACTCAGCCTTGGCGAAGCCACAGCTGGAGTACTGCATCCAGTTTTGGGCTCCACAATTCAAAAAGGATGTGGAGAAGCTTGAGAGAGTCCAGAGAAGAGCCACGTGCATGATCAGAGGTCAGAAAAACAGACCTTATGATGACAGACTGAGCCAAGGGACTCTTCAGCCTGGAAAAGCACAGACTCATGGACAATCTGGTGATCACCTGTAAGTTTATCAGGGGTGTTCACCAGGATCTGGAGGAACGCCTGTTCACCACAGCGCCCCAAGGAATGACAAGATCAAGTGGTCACAAACTCCACTGCGACCAATTCAGGCTGGACACAAGGAAGAACTTCTTTACTGCCCGAGCCCCTAAGGTTTGGAATAGACTGCCGCCGGAGGCGGTTCAAGCACCCACTTTGAATGCCTTCAAGACACATTTGGATGTTTATCTTGCTGGGATCCTATGATTCCTGCTGACTTCCTGCCCCTGGGGCAGGGGGCTGGACTCAATGATCCTTCAGGGTCCCTTTCAGCCCAACTGTCTATGAAATCTACCTCTACTCAAACTGAAGAAATCTGAAGTCAGATTTCAAAGGGAGTTTCACAGATGGCGGATTGGGGGTGGAGGCTTGAAGAATTGGGTCTTATGTCTGGAAACTACATGGACATCCTGAAGTTGTCACTTTTTTCATGCCTTTATTACACAAATACATTTGAAAATATAACAGGGTTTGCTTTATAGCAGTTGCAAGTATTCTTACCACTTATGAAACAAAAAGCCTTCTCAGTTGTTATGACATTTTGCAAAAAAAAGGCCTGGCATATTTTCCAATGTACAAGTGATTTCACACTTATTCTAATGTTATTTATTTGCAAATGGTACCTGAAACTCATTAAGTGCAGATGTAAATGTCATTATTGAACAACCTAAGGCTGGGGACAAGGGAGGTTAAATGCAAGCATAGGAAAATGCATTTTTCCAAGGATGGCTAACCTACAACAGGTCTGCCACAAGTGGCATAGGTAGCGCGTGCACGTGTGTATAATGAGGATTGTCAGTACAGTGGCAGATAGAAAAGCAGCATATTGGGTAGGGAGCAGAAAGCAGAGCAACAAATTGGGCTGGGGAAGGGAATCAAAGTTGTGTTTAAGGAGGATGCAGTGATATTTTGTGGCATGCCTACCTGTCAAAAAGTTGGCCTCCCTCCCCCTGTATTCCATTCCATCACCATGGAACTCCTGTGGGGGGGAAAAGTGTTCATAAAAGAAATCACACTGATAACCCCGGAGCCTGAAGCTCTCAGCTCAATTGCAGAACAGGAAGTTGCAACACACATTGCCCAAAGCACAGCACCTCAAACATCGGCTGTGAATGCAAATCTGATTTCACTGATGAGGTTACCAGTAAAAAGTGCCAGTCACCACTTATCTTGGTAGGTCTCCTAATGCACAAATGTCTACTACACAATGAACTAAGTCTGCTAGACATAAAGATTGCCTGAAGATAAACAGCAATAAATCTTGGACACCATCATCAAGAAAGCAACAGTTCAATGCCATATCTTAAAGACGACATGTTCTGAATCACTAACAACAAGCCATTTAATTTTCCTTCTTGTCAACTCTCAAACCCATGGAAAAAACTAGACAAAATCTCCTTTAACAAAATGGTTTGTTTGCATTCGAAGGAAAGAAATTAGTCCTCAACGTCTGCAAATCTCATTTGAAAGAAAATTGCCATTAAATAAAAGCATGCTTTCATTTGCAGCATTCTTTGAACTGTGTTTGTTTCTCTAAAACAAAATGCATAAGGCTGCTTTTGTTTTGATTGTAAATATACAATAGTAACAGTTTTTTCAGATCAATTCATATATAAACAAATGTTTTATTTATATAAAATTTCATACTGTGCTAATTGTACATTTCAGCAATACATTAGAAATTACTGGTATGAAGCTTGATAAAGCAGCACTCTAGTTAAGAAACAGTGCATCAGATTATCCTACCCATTTAGTTGCTGTAGCTTACATTAATGCTTTCACTTACTGATCTCATTTGTGTTGTTTTATAATTATCTTGCTACACAATAAATCAAACTTAAGAGAAAAGATTACATGAAATCGCACTGTATTTAAAATTTTATTGGTGAGTAAATTGTCACTTAAGTCAGGCATAGCAAGTTTATTTCTCATACAACTTCACCAAAAAAGAAAGGTCTCAAAGATTCATTTTTGTGCAACTTAATTAGGCAAATTACAGGTTATGCCCAATTTTTCACATAGCCAAAAGGACATCTCTAATTTACACTGTACACTTATTGTACAGCAAAGTGTGATTTTACAATTTATCACCCTTACAAGTTACGCAAGTTTGCAAAATTGTTACATTCAAAACCACTCTCTCTTATGTCTTTACTATGTACAGTAAAAAACAAAACTGAAACGAAACCAAAACCAGAAATGGGATGGATTTGATCATATATACAGGAGAAACATCCGATTTTACAAGATACATGGCAGTAAATCAACCATGTAATAATGAGACTAGAATTCAATACAAGATGCAGCAAAAGGAATTATAATATGATACTTTACAGCAACATCAAAATTATGGACCCAATCCTTCTTTGCCACATTATCTTATGATTTACTTGCATGTAAGTGTAAAACATTCACTGTATATTTATAAGGAAGGATCAGATATATTTACATCAAAATTGTCTTGCACTAGAGAACACTTAGAAATAAATCCACAACATTGATGTACTATAAATAAATTAGAACACGTGTAATGATATTGATATTATTAAAAACTAATAGAAAAAAATTAAACTGCAGTTAAAAAATTAACATGCAGGTCAAGTTGTAAATAAAACAAAAGGACCTAAGTTTAGCACTGGGACAGTAGAGAATCAACATGAAAAAAATCTCAGAATAATGAATATGCAGTCTTTAACTTGCAAACCCAACTCGTGTATTAAATCAGAATGATCTACCTGCACTGCCATGACAAGAGCATGCTCCTAAGTCTTTGGTGCCAAGAACTGCACCCATGGTCAGCTCCAGAACTCGATTCAAAAACTGCAGCCCCTGCCAAAGACCATCTGATCATCTTCTGAAGACTAGTACACCAACAGGACAAAGCAGCTTTCAGGGGAAGGAGCCAATACAGAAGAGCATGCAAGAGTTGTAATCCCAAGCCTCTAATTTTCATCTCTCTAGTCCAAATGCATGTATCCTGATTAAAAGAGATTAGAATGGAGGGGGCTTTTTTTGCTTTTTCTTCTTTCTTTATAAAAAGAAAAACAGGCTTTGCTTAATCTTTTGTCCTCGGTTAGAAAATTCTGTAATGTACCAAACATTTTATAAATTTTTGGGATGCAAAACAGTTTGCGATATTTATACATTTGTAGAAATACAATATAGAGGACAAACATGAATTTCCTCTGTAACTGAGATTATAATGGCTGACAGCTGCTTCAGAGATCCACAACCTGCAGTATTAACAGAATAAGATGTACTCAAATATGATGTATTGCAACACTTAATACCTTAATACCCTTGTTGTCAATCATTTTGATCAACAGTAAAATACAAGTGTAATTCTTGAATCATTGGTGTACATGGAAGTAATGTATGTAAAGTTTCTTTTTTAAACCAGATGTTAAACTTTGCAAGAAACCAAGCTATTTTTAGGATCAGAATAAGCATTTATAGGTGATAAAATGCCCTACCCTGTTTTATATACTACCTAATGCCATTTCCAGTCTTCACCATGATGCATTTACCAGTGAGAGCAACAGCACAGGCAAAAGGCTAATGGCAAATGTATGCATGGGGAGTGGGAGGTGATGACCAGGGTGGTAATGTCTAAGGGTGCAATATCTTTGTGCATAAAAGATTCAAGTAAGGGATGTCAAAGATATGGCCTGTGGGCCAGATCCAGCATGAGGAGCCATTTCACTCTTCCCATGAGCTTCCTGGACTGACTATGAATTTAGGGGCAAGGCCTACCATCAAACTTCCAAGTACAAAGCACTGCTTAGGGATGTGTGTTAATGGGGGGTAGAAGGGGGAAGGGGAATGGGAAGGAAACAGGATGCAAATGACAGCTGTGTTAATGCCTGTGCCACTGCCACTCACCCACCACTTGCCCTCCTGCTGCTGCTGGGTCCAGATCCAGCCTAGGCACCCAGGTGAATTTGAGAATGCTGTTTTAAAGGTAAACAATTTTAAAGGATTAAAGGTGAAAATGCCTCTTCAAAAAGTAAGATTCCCATTTATTTTCATAGCAGTTTAATCCCACAATTCTACATTGGTAATGTTAAGTATTTAAAAAACAGATACTTTTTTTTGAAGAAGAAACATGAGGAAGTGTCAAAAACACTTTCCCAACTTTTTTGCTATCATATTCTGAAGTAGCTTGACCTGAAGGTAATGAACCTTGATGTGTGAAAAAGTGAACAGCAGTAAACGAGTTTATTGCAATACTTGTAATTTTGTAGATTTGACAATAGAAACAACAGGCTTGAAGCAAACTGCAGCTGTTTCATCTTCATGGCGTTTTAAAAGAACACCATCATGTATATTTTTAGAGCAACAGTATTCAACAGATGCATATGAAAGTGTGTTCTTATAGAAAATGAAAAATTTTAGAAGACATTAAATTATATCCTTGCAATTTTAAATGGACTTGCATTACAAGTTTCCAAAAGACTGATACACTTCACAGAAATAGCGGGCTCTAGGCATTAGCAATAGAATATGACACTCTCTCACTAATAGTTCTAGGCTAGCACAAACTAAAAGTTTTCCTTACCCAATTACAAATCTAATGACTATAATAAATTTCTTAAGGGGGTGTGTGTATGTGTGTGACCATATACTATACAAGTCTCATATGAAACCCACCATCACAACCAGTCCCTGTTAGCAGTGTTAGTGGAGCACCCATGGTCTGAAAAGTCAGGTTTAATGCTCCATACTCCCTCTCACCCCCATGTAAAATTACTTCAGAAAAGGACTGAACAGAGAGACAAGATGCTATAATTAAAGCTTACACTGCCTTTTATATGTTCTGTAGACAGATAAAAGACTTCCCTCTCCAAAGTTATTAACTGATCCCCTTTCAAGAATACAAGAGTTGTCTTTCATATTAAAAAAACAAACAAACAACTCAGTAGCGTGGTGGTAGACAAAGAAAAAAATTCAGGGGATATAAAACATAACTCAGGATTTATGGCCATAATAAAAACAGCTTTACAAATACTTTGTAAGATAACCAATGTTATCTTTTCATAACTGAAGAGACAAAATGCAATTAAAAGATATGTCAATTTGATCTTGAACTTCTTGACAGCGGCTCTTTAATGTAACTGTAAAATATTCACCATATAAAAGATCCACACAAACATAAAAGTTTCCATATACAACACCACAGATTTTACTTAAAACCTTTTCTAGGGGGAAAAATGTATCTTAAGTCATTTTCACTGATTTCTACAATCTCTGGCAGTTCTCACTGGCTTATTAGGTTCATGATGCAAAACGAGTTAATGTTATATAGTCCTGCTTCTCCACTGACAGCTTTATTTTTCAGTGACTTAGAGTAACATAATAGTAATAAATGGTAAACAATACTGCTTCAAAGTTTAAAGTGTCGTTCTCCAAGAAAAGTCATGCAGAATGACCTCTATGAATAAACTTGCAATTAGTTCTTGAAGTCAAATAGGGGTCTTACAGTAAACCTGGCTTAACCTAGTATTTTCAGAGCTCTTGCACTCAATGAATGCGTAATAAAATAACCACCTGCACATCTATCCTTTTCATGAACTACATATGCTTGACAAATCTAAACAGTTAACAGCTGCGACTGGTTTCCTGGGATCATACCAAAAAAAAAAAGACAAAAACCTAAGAGAAACAAGATTTATTGTAAAACAAGTTGAAGAAGCAATGACTTTAGCAGAGTTTTGCTTTGCAATCCCAGACAGAGCATGATGCGACTGAATGCTCTCAGGAAAGCTAAAAACAAAATTATAGTGTAACTGTACAGATGTTGCCTCATTAAAATCGCTTTCTCTTGATAATTTCTGGTTTCCAGCTGACAGGATGGGTTTCTTCAGTCTGAAAAAATAGCATGAGAAAATAAATTGAAGTAGCTATTTTTAACTGTAAATTAAGCTGTAGTTTTGCTTAAAAGGTCTGTTACACAGGATATGCTATGTCTTATACACATGTAACAATACTTTGATAAGTTAATATTTTTTGCTTCAATTAGAATGTATAGATTAACTGATTAGAATATACATTTGAATTTACTGTTTCCCCGTGCCACTGTCTGAAGGGCTAGACATGGTTGTTCCTGCTACTATTTTAGGCTGTGAAACAAGAACATGGGTGGTCACTAGCAATTAAGAAAAAAAAAAGGTTTTGGAGAAAAATAAAAAGTATAAGGTTGGCAGCCATGAGACTCAAGTTCTACTCCTGGTTCAGTCACTTACATCCCATGTGATCTCAAGCAAGCTCTTTAATGTCTGTACCTCACCGACCCCTCTGTAAAATGGGGAATTAATACATTTGTCTTGTTCCAAGAGATACTAGAAGGATAATTCAATATTTTGAAGCACTCTTAAAGAATTCACCCCAACTGTGATTAGATTCCATGCTTTAAATTTTTGCTTATTATAAATAGCAATACAATGATGAGTTCTATTCCATAAAGTAAATCTGGCTCAGTTTATAAAGTGTAGTGTTTTGAAAATAAGTTACCTACACTACATTTTAACTTTCTTGCCTTTTAAACTGTTGTACAAGAATCACAGTGTGATCTACTTTTCAAATTGTAACCTTTGAAAAGACTGTGATTATAGAAAGGAAGCAGATGCAACAAGCCTTGACATTATACAGGTCTCGCTGTATGCTTTTTGTAATAAAAATTCTCAAACTATATCACAACAGGGCTTTGGACAAAAATAGGTGGTATTAGACTGGTTTGCTTGAATGTAGTTAACAGGAAAACTAGTGCAGAAACTAGCCACTACCCTGTATTATTTAATATACATGTGTACACATACTAATTTTTTTTTTATATATGATAATGGCTAGCTTCCATGCTATATCTATCTACATATCTAGATATATATTAAATTATATACATTTAATATTTATAAATATTAAAAAATAGCATTTATATAAATAAAATGTGTGCATGTGTTTATACATACACACATCCCCTATATTATAAATTACATGTACTCAAGATATTCTCCTCTCATATACAGGTTGCAACCCTAACAGAATAAGAGTTCTATAGAAATCTTTTCTGTTCATTTCATGATTTACAATGAAATTGGTTAAACTGTAGATTTTTAAAAAGTACAATTAAAAAGCATGTCAACATACCGCAGTATCATCTTCCCTGTATACTTTTATAGTTTTATCAGCTTCAGCAGTAAGCAATCTGCTTTCTGACTGGTCAAATGCACAAGCAAATATTCCTGATTCACTGTCCAAAGATCCAGGCTGTACAGCTGCATGCACTCTCTGGAAATTATACCCAGTTCTCCAGTCCCAAAGATGCATAGTGCCATTATCAGCTGAAAAAGAAATACAATTGATCCATTTCTGTCACCCTTTTAATAAACAAAAAAACAGCTCTCCAACCAGCTGTCTAATGCACAAGGAATTTGCTGATTTGGAACAGGTTAGTCATAGCATTCTGTTAGAATAGTTTACTGCCCTCCAAAGAGGTGTCCCATTTCCTGCTGGCTTCTTTGTTCCCTTCCTGCCTAAGAAAGTTGGTGGCAGCTCTCTCCAAAATGCTCTTAAATCAGCTTTAAACATCACGCACAGAATCACAAGTACTCGCATCAAGTTGTAATCTTGAACACAAATTCCTTACTCGATGACATTACTGATGGGATGACAGTTCTACATTTAATTATGAACAGAGACACTACAGAAACAATGACCTTGCATAACCTTAAAAAGTGTGGAGACAGTACTGACAGTAGTGGCAGATGACAGAAGGATGCTCAGAGGGACCCCTCTCAAAACAGACTTTCAATTTTGATAAAGGTGTCAACTAGTCAAAACAGAGCTTTGATAACTTTAATCTAACCCCAACTGCCAGCCAGATAAAAAAAATAGACATTTTAGATAGTGCTTCCGCTAAAGTAAAGACTTTAAATCTCAATTTATTTTAGTTCAGCCCTAGCTCCTTTGAAGTTGCTACAGATTTTTTGAAAATCTCTATACAAGCTATGTTCATAAAGCCCTAGTTTCAAAAAAAGGGGAAAAAGGCCTTTAAAGTATATTTCTGAATAGAATAACACTTTGCTCTGGGGAAACAGACAATTTTCCCCAAAATCCTCAGCTATTTTAAGGGGCCTGCCTACAAATTGAGAACCCCCCAATTTTTACATGAATACCAATACAAACGTCATTGAAAGATCCTTGCAGGACTTACACTTCCCAATCGTTTAGAACAAAATATAAAAAGGACCCATCATTTTTCAAGCTCTTGCCCACACTATGCACATGAATCCTTATGCTGTCAAATGCAGCTTTAACCTGCATTCAAAAATAAGAAAACCCACTCTTATTTGTACTTAAAAGCATACAGTCTGTGTAAGCTGACACAGAATATGATTTAGCAGTTCCCACCCAAAGCATTGTGACTCCAAACCTTTAGCTTAATGCTGAACACTATATTATGCACGAGACACTAATTAACATTTATACATTAAATAAAAGTGCAATTCTTTCCTGAAAAGTGATATTTTTCAATGGACTTCCAGAACAAAAGTGTTCAGTTTACAAGCGAATAGTGTTTTGTCTTATGGCTATTTCTGTGAACTCATCCCAGAATTTGAAGTCAAGCTGAATTAACACACACAATTCTATGGATCAAATTCCATTCTTGGACTACATGCCTATGTTTGCCTAAAGGAAACCAAGTGCAGAACCTGACCCTGCACTTGTGAGTATCCACAGCATTTCAATCTACTTTCCTATGGCTATGCTGATGCTACAGAAAAAAGCAAAAAGCCTATTAGTCTTATGGTTAAACCAGTAGACTGGGACTTCAGCTATCTATATTCAATTCTCTGCTCTGCCTTAATTCCTATGTGATCTCATAGCATGTGGGTGCTCAACTGGCCCACAGGGCTCCCTGTGGATCCAAAAATTTGGCAGTGGGGAACTGATGGCAGCTAACTGCCGCTCCCCCACTGCCAAGTTTCCAGAACTACAAAGAGCCCTCTGAGATGGATAGCATGAGCCTGCATGCTAGATTGAGTTTGCAGGGCTGATCTGGGTGCAGAGAGTCCTGATTCAGCCCTGCACCACTCATCCAGTCCACAGGGGCAAAAGGTTGAGTACTGCAAAGCTGCTATACCTGCGAGGGAATATGAGAGATTTAAGATTTGTGAACTTAAGTAATATCTTTTGCTAGATCAGTTATATAGAGCACAAAGCTCTTCTAGCATCTCCCAGTTACACAGTTCATCCAATAAAAGATATTATTCAAACTAACAAATCTTGTCTCTCGCATATATTATCCTAATCAAAGTGAGAATCTTTCTGGGGCTCACTTCTCCTTTCTGTAGAAGAAAAAAAGAAATTTTCTTTTTCCCCCCTCTTCAGCTGTCTTTCTATTCAGATTATACATTACTTTAATACAAATCCTATCCCCTACCACATCTTCCATTACAAAAAGGATGTATGATAATTCAGATGAGACCTCCATAAGCTACCTTTCCAACAGCCATTTGCCCCTACACACACACACACACACACACACGCGCGCGCGCGCGCGCCTGAATATATATGTACAACCATATAGCTTTTGCACATCAGCAATGATTTTAGTATATCCTTACTTTAATCAGAACTACAGCATTCTAATAAGTGAAATTATGGAAAAATGCCACTATGAATTTGAGCTAATCAAAGTTCAACGAATCAACTGCTAAAAGATTGGGTTAAGCAGTAGTCAGCATTTTACAAATAGATACTGATGGCTAGAAAGTGGTATTTAGAGGTTTGTTTTGGGGGATTGGCTTGTAGGTAAAAGTAGATATGCATTAGAACAGGGGTAGGCAACACCCAGCATGTATGCCAGAGCATAGCAAGCAAAGGTGTTTTGCTTGGCATGTGCACCTTGGGGCAGACAGCAGGAAGCGAGCCTGGGCTGTGCCGCTGCAACAAGAATCAGGCCCTTCATGGCACCCCTACTGTCTGCCCCAGCACGCCAATATCTTACAAGTTGAGGTTGCAGGTGTTTTTGGTATTCTGCCCAAAAACACTGCCTACCCCTGCATCACAACAATGGTCTAGGGGAATGGCGAGAGATTTCTGGTTTTGGTAAAACAGACCAAATTAGGAGGCCTGGTAAATAACCAAATTAAGATGTGTGCATGTGGTGAGTTCGTTGGAACAAATGAATATGCTGACATGGCAGAACATGGACAAGATGATGACCCCAGGGAAGCCAATCAATAAGGCCCAGGAATGAAGAGTCAAAGGGGAGAAAGAATACTAAAGGAAGGATTTCAGAGCAGCAGAGAGGACCCAAGAGGGGAACCCAAGGCCACTACAGACAGAGGGCACACCACCAGCCGATAGGGGAAGCGTAAGTCACCAGTCTTACCCACCCCATCAGAGGGGGGTGAGCTTTGGCCTTTGACCTCCAGGCTGCTGACATCTGACATTCAAGAAAAAACCTCAGGGTGAAGCTCTCACACTGGCCAGATATACCTTCCCTCTGTGAGAGCTCTAAGATTGGTAGCTGGGATCCTATGATCCCTGCTAGCTTCCTGCCCCTGGAGTAGGGGGCTGGACTCAATGATCTGAGGTCTCTTCCAGCCCTAATGTCTATGAATCTATGAGCTATAGGAATGGAATTATTTATGCCATCACTGTATATCAATAAAATTTGCCTATTATCAAATGGCGAAGTCGTGGTTAGTCTGAGGGTTTGGTTCTGCCCGGAATGAGGTATGTGGGTCATAAGTCCAGAGCCAACAGATACCATTTGTAAAACCATCAGAAAAAGTCGATGGATTCCATGCATATAAACATAGGAATTTATGCAGTTAGAGGAACAACATTGTTAATTTCTTTGTAGGTACATACACAGATTAAGTCAAGCCATACTTCAATATACTAAACCCAGCCAAATTAAGTAAATTCTACCTGTATTTACTAACAGGGAGATAATACCCAACACATTTATATACCAGATATCACCATAACAGAGAACATAGATAGAAAGCTTCCAGGCAGAAAAAGCACTGCATTCCTATTGCATTTAAGGAGGCAATCAAATTGGAGGGCTTTACATGAATGAATGTACCCTTTGCAGACATACGTTGTGTACCCACTCTCCACACACCCCAATGCAGCAAGCTGAGAGGAACAGCGATCAAGTAAGCTAGGAGGATTCACTATTATGTGGATTTTCCAATCCATCCCATTCATTAGGGAGGCAATGGCTACTCTAGGTTAAGGAGGCAATAGGGTCAGAGTGACACTAACTGCTCTACAGCAGCCAGTGGAGGAGAAAAGAAGGCTACTAGGCTCCTCGGAGACATCCTTAGTCACAGACTTGGGCTCAAACAAAACAGACACTGTGACAAAAGAATTAAAATCTAAAGAAATCTCACTTTACCTCCAGATACCAAAACTCCATCCGAATTCACAGCCAGTGTGTTGATAATAGCATTATGACCAGAAAGGTTTTGAATGAAGTTTCCATCTGGGAATTTCCACTGTTTAATGTTATCTGGAGAACCAGATGCAAACGTATAACTGGAACAAGATTAGCACAGTAAAGTAAGCCAGAGTTAAAAAAAAGTTTTGTACTTGCTTCTCTTTAACATGTTTCAGTGTAGCACATCAGTATTACAGCTACTAATTATACATACCAATAGTAAAATGTGATTCTCCAAATTACTTAACCACTAAATCATTTTTTCAACAGCAAATGTACGTAAAAACACCTGTATTATGCATGTTTTATCTAATTTTACTGTTTAATTGCATCTTTTTCTTTATACAAAATGGATTACCTAACATACAAATATTTTTTCAATACTAATAATATAATTTCAATAATAAGTTGCTAATAATATAATTTCAATAATTTAATAATATAAAAGTTCTGAAGAAAGAGTTACTTCTCAGTAAGAGCACTAGCTTTTGCACTGCCCAAAATTTAAAACTGGCTTGTATTTTAATTTTGGCAATACTTATGCAGAGAGGTGTTACCAGAAAATGACAAAGAAAGCACTTTCAAAAGATGTAGTAACATCAAATGCAATTAGGGAGAGAGAGCACAAGAGCAAGCAAGCTCTTTGATTTTGGTAGCTGATTAGTTCTCCAATTTGTCTGAACAAGTTAACGATCCTTAAATTATTTAATTCACCTCCCTCATAGAACACTTACAAACACAGGCAGCAAAAGTGTTTTTATAGGGCTGAGAGGCAAGTTCAGTCCCCTTATTTAATAATCAGAGTACAGAAAGTAAGGATATATTTATAAAGATGACAGAGACGTGGTTTTGTAACATGCTCAGACAAACTGGGCTGGAACCATTTCATTTCACAGAGATTCCGAAGTTCTGCAGTAATTAAACTAAAATTAACAGGACTCCAAGTACAGATATATGATAACATTGTGTGCCATTATTTCTATATTGGTACTATAGTAGTTGCATTTTGGTGGTTTAGTTAGCTCAGTTAGTCTCTGTTTACTACTAGGATTAGATGTTTCAAAGGCAGGTGCAAGAACTGCAAAAGCAAGCACTTTTAGAATGAACTACCTATAAGATCAATTTTTTTTCATAATAAGATCAAGTTTTTTTCAACAACTTATGCAATGTTGCATAGTTCTAGTATCCCAACATTAATTGTTCTCTACTTGGGCTTTCTTCCAGTAAGCAAGTTTTGCTTAAGTTCACTACCATAGCTTTCTTTTAACAAAGACTCACTTGTTCCCTTGTTAGCAATCGTGGGAGTTGTAGCGGCACTGGTCTTTCCCCATCATGGTCATTAAATCCTAGTGCTTGAGAAGCCTATGTATACTGGTGCTCCCAACAATGCTAATACCAGCTCAGTTAATGCAGCCAAGTAACAGTCATTAATTACAACTGTCTCTTGTTGTATATACATTCTTATCTCACTAAAGTAATGTGTACTCTTCAATTCATTAGGCAGGATAGTACTTCAAAGAAAGCTACTTTAAAGTATATCAAAATGTTGGCTTCCTGCTACCACCATGTGTTAAAAGTCAAGACAGAAACAAGGAAAAAAACCAAAACTTACTGCCTTGGATGCAATACAACTGCTCTTACAGATTTCTTGTGATTTGTTAAAGTGACACGAGTTTTTCCTGCCACTAAATCCCACAGTCGTATTGTGGTATCATGGCTTCCTGTAATTAAAAAGAAAAGATAGCAAAGGTATACAGCATAAACAGCAATGCTATCAGTCTGTACAGATATCTAAATATAATATATAAAAGTTTAATAAAAATAACAGCATCTTTCATCCAAAAAAACTCTTGCAAACAAAAACTACATAGAGAGATTTTTAATCCCTCACCCAGATCTTCAATCTGCTAATATACTGTTATCCCAGAAGTAAAACACACACACTTTAAACTGCATATAGCAACATTATAAAAATTTAGAATAAACTATATTGTATCTTGTTTAAATCAGCAAGAGATGATCCCAATTTGAACCTAGATCTTAACTAGTATAACATAAGACAAGAAATGAGAGACAAAGGTAATGAACTGGGAGAAAGGACAAAGATAAACAGTGATACAAACACATTGTTATAAATAGCTACATACAAAATTATCTGATTCTTAGTTGCTTGGTTTGGTAAACATCAACCATACCTGTAATAATCTGTGGTTCTGCAGCTTGGCACTTCACTGTTGCCACTGCATTTGTATGTCCTGTTAACGTGTGCACGCTGGCTTTTGTCCTCACATCCCAGATCTGTAAGGCCATAGTAAACTCAAGACGGTACGAAACATGTTCATCTTTTAGGAACTACTATTGGTTGTATGGATTACATGCCAGACCTGACACATACTACCATATTTGTGCTAGAAAACTAGCATAATCAGTTCATCATAACAATAAGCAGAAGTTGCCATTCATTGCACTAAGACATCAAGCCATCTTTCTTTAAGGTTAGACACCATAAAGTTATATCCCCCGCCCCTCTAAGGCCGACGAAGTTGACAGAATCTAATTGGTCTATATGATATTTTTAATAGCCCCAGGTGTGGGCAAAATAAACCACTCTTAGACATTACTAGCATTCTACATATTTTGGGGCAAAAGAGAATGCTTCAATTATAAATCTATAAAAAGATCTGGATCTTCCCCACTATGAGCCACTGGAGGACTCAAAATTAGCAGACTGGCTCAAGGGCCCAAATTTCCTAGATTATGATGTTTACAAAACAGAGGAAGTATGCTCTGAACAGTGGAGCTTGCTCCCCCTTGTCTGTCAGAGCCCAAGCATGTCACCTTCAGTGTTGGTTTTCAAGCAGTTTTTCTTTTTTAAAAAAGCACAAATATAAAACACAATAGTAGCAGTAATGAGTATAGAAGGAAGACCACAAGAATAAGGCTACTGGTCTAGCTGTATTTTTAAATCTTTATACACACCACTTGTTTAGCTTTTAACACTGAATATCTAAAAGCATGCATGTTCAATAAACCTCACCGTACTACTTACTCGTGCTGTTGAATCCCGGCTACATGTCATCAACACATCTATTGTTGGGTGCAGATCCAAACCATAGACAGCACTTAAGTGACCATGGTAATGCCTAATGACCTAGAGAACAAACAGACTTTAACTTGGTATTTAAAGGACAAAGTTTTAATTCTCTGATTCCTACAATGCTACAAGTGCACCTTGATATAAGAAAAATAAATCTACATCTTACCTTATTATACTCAAGATCCCAGCATTTCACTTGTTTGTCTTCTCCACAAGAGAAGAGGTATGGACTTCTTGCACTTACTATCACACCTCGGACAGTACTAATGTGTCCTGTCAGAGACAGCTTTAATTTGCCACTAGCAAGATCCCAAATCTACATTGAAAAATGTAAAGATTTTAAAGTTACCCAAATGTAAAAACAGGACAATTAAAAGAGAAAACTGAATTGACCAGGATTTGTCAATCTATTCCTAGACCACCTTACCTTGATAGTTCTGTCAGCAGAGCCAGTAACAAACCACTGATTTCCTGGTTCCACGGCAATGCATCTCACCCATCCCAAGTGACCACTGATCACCTTTAGAAAAAACAACAAAAAACATTCTGACTCAAAAAATGAACATACTTCTGACAAGTGCAATTAGTCCAAGAAATGATTTAAAATGAAAATCACATTTAAAATTAGATTTAAAAAAAAACAGTTTTGGTCCTCTCACATAAAAACAATACTACTAAATTAAAATTCAAAATATTTTAAAATTTAGAAACTGGATGGCTTTGGTCATTTGCAATGGGACCCCTTAAGGTGAAGTCATTGGTTCAAATCCTTAACAGGTCATTAGTAACTGTAAATTAGATTTCTCAAGGTAAGGGGTTTCTTCAGTTCATCCCTGGCATCTTCCTGTACAGTATCGAATAAACTACCAGTGCTCCTACAATAACAATTATAGAAATATGCACCCAACCTACTGGTTGTTTAGTCACATTTGCAAAGCAAAATTTCAATTTCCAAAAAGTTCTTAATAAAACAGCTGTATCTCATTAATAAAAAAATCCGTTATTACTAGTATCAATCAGCAACTGCTGCATCTTTCAATTCAGTTCCTTCAGCTCTGGACAAGGCAAAATGCCAAGGAATAGGCATAAACCTATCCTACCCAGGCACAGACTATACCTGTTCTATAAATAGCAGAAACAACTATTTTAAAGTAAGTCAATAATGTACATTTCACTAGCACCAAAACTCAGTTTTAAAAAAAAAAAAAAGCCAGTACAATTACAGGCTTTACGAACACACACAAAAAAAGAGAAAATACCTTTTATTTGCATTTTAGTATCTACAGCTCTGCAGGATGCTTCCCCATTAATATGTTCACTGAAATATAGTTATTATAACACCACCTGCTAGCAATTAATATATAGTTTACTCCACTTACATGCATATTAGATAAATACCTAATTTGTAGGCTACTGCTTATTTTGTAATAAATTCCAGTTATCTGCACATCAGGTAAGTATATACATTAATTAAATACACAGATCTTTTAGACCTATTATCCATCTTGTAACTTACCTACGTACCAAGTGTAACTGTCTGCTCTGCAACCAATTGTCCTACCTTTAAGTGCACCAGAAACAATGCAAGGGAAGCAGCTGTCAAAGGGCTATTATTAGCCCTGAAAAAATAACAGCAGCTAGTTACTTGAATAGCATCTTTCTCCCTTCATTTTCAAGGCTTCTAGAAGTAGCTCCAGTTGTGACTACTGGTAGCTTTGAAAATGAGAAGAACTAGTTAGTTTCAGGGATTTACATCATTGTAAATGATGTTCCTTAACTATACAATTCTTCTAATACCACTTCCATAACTAACTATTGGAAGCTTTGAAAATGAGGGCAGTAGTCAATGCTGGGGATGTCAATATCACAGCAGTGATAGTGCTGTATAATTAGGGGCACTGATTGTTAGCTTTCATTTGCATAAGTGCATACTTTTAGTAAAGGTAAATTTTCTTTCTAATCCAGAAATTGCACACATACATATACTCTGCATAGTCACCCAACCACACACCATATAACAGACAAAGCTTATCTGCTAAGGCCTTATAACCAGTGGAAAACACTATTTGCAAAGGAAAACTCTATTGATGGGAAGCTGGGTAGAAGTGATTCTGCTGCCTTCGAACCAAGGCAGTTCCAAGGGACAATCTTCTTGACAGGAAGGGGAAAGTGTGGGCATGACAGGGCACCACTGGATCAGAGTGGCTCTTTTGTAGCTCTAATGCCTGTCAGAGTTGGGAAACCAAGAATGAAGGAGCCAAAATGATTTGTCTATGGCTCTCTCTTTAATACATCTGAGTTTCACTGAGATGTAGAGAAGAATAAGGGCCACAGTACCAAAACAAACTGAACCTTATGGAGGCTTTGAAGTAGACATGGATAGAACATACCAGGTGAGTTAGTCTGTCCTGTTTTTTTGGCTGCAGCCGACAGTTCCTGGTCCCCCAACAAGAGCTATAGGTAGATTGTGCCACTGTGCCTTCTACCAGACATCTTATTGTCAGGAAGAACAAATGTATTGAATCTAGCACCTTGGCTTTAGCCCCACACACGTTTTCTCTTCCCCGCAACATATAAAACTGCTCTAAATCAAGTAGGTGCACTTTCCATGTGCTTATTATGTCTCAATTTTTCTCAAATAAAATTTCTTTTAAAATTTGTATAAATAAATTGCTCCAGAACTATAGTCCTATTTCATACACTTATACATTCCTTTGGATTAGACTGTTTTTCAGACAAGTTGTCTTTACATTAATTTTAAATTTTGTGCATATTCAACAGATATTTATGAACTCTAAAACTGTTCATACACAGCATTATACAGTAAATTAACTACACTAAAAAGACCAGATACACATCTCTTTCAACCACAAGAGATTTTTTCCTTCTCAACCAATGAAGTGTGGTCTTTCTTCAGTAACAGACCATGTCTGAGCAAAGCTGAAAGTTACTCAAATTACAAATTAGGTAAAGAGTATTGGTAAATAAGGTACATCTAAAAAATATATTTATTTCACCGCCTTCAACTCATTTAATTTCTACCATTTACTTCAATGCATTTTCCCTCTTGTATACCTAATCATAACGAGGTCATGACCAAAGTATCTAACAAGCATATGCAATAACTGAGGAACTAATTGGTATAACCTGAGATAATCAAATTAAAAGGCAAAAAATAATGATAAATGTACCAATTAGATTGAGATGAAATGCACACAAATCAACCAATTTAAAATACAGGGATAATTCATTGCATCTTAAGTGCTCAGACAGCATTTTCTATTTTCATGTTAGAGCAAAACCAGAGATTTATTGGAAAAGGCTCTAGTGTTAATTGTGCTGAAAAATTACATTAGAGGCTTATTTCATTGTGATCCATTAACACTGTTAAAAACAGCAATGACACTTAAACTATATTTCAAGTAAGTAAAAGTAATTTAAGGTCTTATGTCCATCCATGAATGCCATTACCAATGCCTATGTTTTTTTAAATCATGCTCTTATTTTTAGAAGTTTCCCAAACCATTGTTATACCCACACAAACAAGACACAAAAACATAAAATTGTACACAGATGGCAGTCCAAAGCATATTATATAAAAAAAGGAAAATTTTTCTCATTCTAATCTCTGTCTCTCTCAGGAATATTTAGACCTCCCAACCAGGGAGAAGAGCTTGACCTGGAATTC